GGTGACTTTAGATTAAGAATTTGAGTAAGTTATCTAAGTAAGGCCTATCTGCTATTTACAAAAATGACAAAAATGTGTATCTACATTGCTATATACCTACATATGATATGTTATGATGTACCTACATGGAGTCGTGACTCTTTTAATGAATTTATTATCAGCTTATAATTGAAATGTAGAACAAAGTAAGATTTGAATGAGTAATTTACCAATACGTAAGTCATTATTATTGTTTTTTTTTGCATCCCTGTTAGATTAAAAAAAGATACCATAGAAGTTTAGCAGATTTTTTACACAATGAAGTGTATATAATCTGAATATTACTAGTATTCTTAAGAAGTTAAAATTACACTTTACAGAGCACAAATAATATTTCACCGACAAAATATATAATAACGACGGCCGCAACCGACGGTTAATATCATTTCTAGTTAGAAATTAAACATTAAAACTTCCGGCAAATAGCTGATTCACCGTATCCGCGGCAAAGAAAGCGACGGGAAACGTCACGTAAGCCTATCCTGTATGAAATGACCATTCGCTCGGAAATTTACTAGTTAATATTTAATAGATACATCTATAAATATGATATCCGGAAGTACTTACGAATTCTTCAGATTTTCGCGACTACCTTTGCGACTATCTCCGAAGTATTAACTCAGAAACAACACTCACGTTGTTACCACAAAACACGATCACTTTTAAAACCCACTGTTGAGATTTGGACGGTTTAAGCACATGTTTCACGCGCACGGCTGCAGTTTCTTAACTTGAGGAAGGTTCCGACGGGCTCTGAACCGGGACTATTTCCTGAACGAGGCTCCTCGCGGTCCGCGCACGCGCCCCTCGTCCCGGGGCGTGACCTAGACCCTGAAAACAACACCCCCGCGCCCACGCTTACAGCGTTTCCATGGTTACGAACTGAGGATGCACTCGCAAACCTTCCTGAAGCCCGGAAATGAGAATTGAATTACATGAAAAATCTCCAACAAACAAATCTTTACCGCTTTTTGTTGCCAGAAAAATAAAAAAAAAAGTTTTGTTCGCGGAAGTTTTGTTAATTTGTCTGTGTCATACGGAATCGCATTTAAAGAAAGAGGAGCGGTAGGTACTGAACGGCCTCATCCAATCAACGACAGAGCCTACTCCGCATTGGTGTTCCTAAGGCATGGTGTGAGATATTGTGACCTTTATAACAGCTTATTGATGATAAACAAGACATAGATGGGCTTAACACATTACCGTATAATGTGAGTGAATATATTTGATAAAATGATGTTATTTTTATTTTTTTATTTCCTATTTTTATTGCCGTATAGGCAGACGAGCATACGACCTACCTGATGGTGAGTGGTTACCGTCGCTCATGGACGTCAGCAATGCCTGGGACAGAGCCAAGCCACTGCCTACCGTTAAATACTCTCCACAAATCTCGTTTGAAGAAGGACTTGTCATAGCTCTCGAAAAACACCGTGGAGGGGAGCTCATTCCAAAGCCGGATGGTACGTGGCAAATATGTGTATGTGTGTAACTTAAAAAAGCGAAATTATTGTCATTTTCAATGGATCATAACTAAATGCATCACTTACCTTTCATAAATTGTGAATGCGCGTTTTTTTCTGTGCATCTGTTGTTCCTTAATATTATAGTTAAATAAATTAAAATTATTTTTTTTATTGCTTAGAAGGGTGGACGAGCTCACGGCCCATCAGACTCTTAGTGATTGCCGGAGGGGATAGCTATCAACCGTCTAAATGTTGATCCGTCTTACCTATGCAAATTAAAATTTTTGCGGGTTTTTATTTTTGTTACACGATATTATTGTTTTGAAGGTATTTGTGAACATGCCTGCCTTCTTATTGGATATTCTAGGAGCACAAAGAAGCAGCTATCTACAGCAAGAAGCCTCGTGTGATCACATTCTAAAAGTACGTGTGCTGCGGTGCTATATAAAATGTAAATTGCCTCATCACTTCGGAGCTACTTCATGTGATAAGCGGGATGGACTATGTCCATTATACCGACGTTCATAGATGACGGTGTCACCCTTAGGTGAGCCGTATGGTCGGCTGCTTAGTGACAATAAAGAAAAGACCTAAGGATTGGTTGCGATGGGCATTTTGCACGGAGTTTATGTCCCGGGCCAAAAACAAAAGAAAATACCTCTAACCGTCTACCGATAAATAGTTTGTAAATAAGTATTAGTTTCCCATTATCAATAGGGTATAGACCTACTGAGAATTGTGTTTCTATCTTACTTTTATACCACGAATTTATGTATTTACGCACTGTTTCCAATATGTACCTAATGTATGTAACAGTATTTATGGGCCATAATAGCCAGCCATTATGGCCAGACTAGTTATATCGAGAACGCTTCTCAAACGAACCTCATGTCACACATTATAGTGTAGAGGTAGACTTGGAACTTGTGAAAGAGATTTGATGGATGTAAGAATTATTCCTTTTTTATGGTAGTCATAATATTGAATTCTGTTCACAAGTACTCGCTCAACCTAATAAGTATTTGCGTGAAGAGGAAACATGCGAAGCGAGGAATTAGGAAGAATAAATATTTTTTTATTACATTTTCTTTTATTAATAACGGGTTGATGACGTCACGACCCACCTGGTGTTATATAGTTGCCGGAGCCCATAGACATCTACAACGTAAATCGGATACCCACCTTGAAACATGAGTTCTAAAGTCTCAGATTTTACAGTAGGTACAACGGCTGCCCCTCCCTTCAAATTGAAAAGCACTACTGTTTCACGGCAGAAATACGCAGGGTGGTGGTGGTACCTATCCGTGCGAAGTCACAAGAGGTCCAACCACCAGTAATTACGCAAATTACGAGATATAAAGAAAGATAGGGGCAACTATAACTTGGATTAATATCCAGTAACATTTTGTTTTCTCAAGCCATATCCAACAAAACTGGACGAATACTTTCTCCAAAATAACATTTTCTTTCATAATCAGAGCTTGACAGAAAGACTAAGTCTTATTTTATAATAAGCACTCATGAAATGTTGGCTAAATTTCAGAAAACGACGGAATATCATAAGTTTTACAACTGAAAAGCACGATTTAATAGCAAGCCGAAGTGAAAAGTAAAAAAAATGAATAATTCAATGGATTTGGAATCGGGGACCCGTTGACAAGATTCGACGAGAAACACAGTGGCCTCTTGTTATGTACCGACTCGTTCGTCTAACAGCAATGAGAGTGGATCAGGTGGCTCCCTTTTTTTATTCCACAGCAGAAAATCCCCGGATCCCCACCCGCGCGGCAGGTGAGGTATGTGAGAGTTGAACCTCACTAAAAACTCCTGCCGCTCACAGCCGGCGCCGTACCTCGGACCGGGCCGGAGCCCAGTCGGGGCTATTGAGACGGCGGGACAGGGTTGACGCAGAGCACATTACATCCATCCCAGGTGGCTCCCTTAGAACGTGTCTAGGGTGTCGACAGTGGCTGGCTGCTGCTAAGGTAAGATAAGGTTACCATGTCGCGAAATAGTGCTCCGACGCTGATTTCATTAATAATGAACTTGTACAGAGAATCGCGTAAAATTATTCTACTACCATCAGCCCACGGGGGTCCACTGCTGGGCAAGGTCTTCCCCCAATAGTCTTAGGTACCATTACATGCATAATAATATCTTATATCCTCCAACGATTTTAATAAATATTAGTATACTGTCAAAACCGTTTACTGCGACATCGCTTAGAACAACATGCCGGTTATAATAACCAAGAACAAAGGTCCCGGCTGAATGCCATATGACCGCCTTATTAAAAATATTGCTTTCTACGACATTGGTAATAACGACATACCTCATAAAACGACCACATTTATCTAATATTTCGGAGAATAAGATCTGTTAGAACGACCGACTAAGCTGTATCTATACTTATACTTATAATATTATAAAGAGGAAAGATTTGTTTGTTTGTTTGTTTCGAATAGGCTCCGAAACTACTGGACCGATTTGAAAAATTCTTTTTCCATTAGAAGCCGACATTGTCCCTGACGAACATAGGCAACTTTAAAAAAAAAAAATTATTTTATATTTTTTTTTGTTTCATGTGTGTTTTAATGTTTCCGAAGCGAAGCGAGGGCGGGTCGCTAGTTGTAAATAATTTGAATAAGTAAGGATAACATTTGTCTTCAATGTGGATAACATTTGTCTTCAATGGCTATTAAAATCAGGAAAGAAAACAATAGGATTTAGTTTAGTGTAGGGTCTTTTCTAATTCTTAGAAACAAAACACGTGCATGCGGTAGAGTCAAAGCCCGCTTCTTCATATCTCTTCAGTTAGTTTGTTACTTATCTATACACAAGACGCACCAAAACTTTGTGGAGTTATTCGTGAAACTTTCAAAATGCCGCAAAGAAAAAGAAAACAAATTAATATTAAAGAAAAATCGCGTATTATGTAAATATATTTTACCAATTTATTTACCCTATATATAATATATACCCTATCGATTTGTTTGTACTTGCACGATACACATTAAACATCACCGGTTGTTACGACTATCGGTTTTTACGACTGAATATGAGCAGTCCCTTCGATGTCGTTATAACAGATTTTGACTGTATTTAGATTTCGGGGGCGATAAATCGATCTAGCTCCGATTTATTTTCAGAAAGTGTTATTTTATTCGTGTTTCCAATAATCAACTTTATCGATAATCAACTTAAACATAAACTTTTTTTTATTGAAAGAAAATAACAAATAATATAATATAACATCAACATGTAATTCGTATTTGAACATAATTTATAAAAAACACAATTTATCAACAAAAAAAATACCGAGCAATGCCTCTCCTCTAGTACCTTTTTTAAATAAAACACGCTTTTATTTTGGACTACTCTTTTCTTATGCCATTGTACCAAATTAATAATTAAAAATTGTACAAATCACCCAAATGTCTTTAACTTACACATTCACACCTCAATAAGCTACTTAACGGCAAATGAAACACATAATTGAATTTTATAATTTAATAAAACTTCTTCATTATAAGAATATGTCTGATTCCATCTATATAATACAAAGCTTTTCGAAAAAGGAAATATCTACGATACAAAATTACAACCTCCCATTGCTATTGACGCCGCACGCGCTCACGTCAGGCTGACCGGACGTTGAATCCCGAGAAAGATATTTTTAGTGCGAGTTTTTTAACGTTCTCGATAGCGTAAAAGTTAAGTCAATTTTGTATGGATCTGGAACAGTGCCCCTAGCGGCAAACATTGGCAAACGTTCCAACTCCATACAAATTTGACTTAACTTTTACGCTATCGAGAGCGTTAAAAAACTCGCACTAAGCACACAGATCTCAACTAAATTACACCGTTCCTGTACAATACACGACCTCCACACGCCGAAGAAGAAAACACCGAACGAAGCTAACCTCATCCGAACACATCACTAGTCGTCAACTGATTGACGATATATCCAAGTTGATATTCTTCAATATACACCCCTAATAAATAAACTTTTCAAATTACGTCACAACGCAATTCAGGCGAGATCGTTTATTGCACAATGACATTTTTTTATTCAAACACGCAGAGACAGAGAAGCTTTTAATATATTTACATTAGTCAAATTTATTGTAAATTCATTCGGGTCGTATTTACAAACGATATAATAATTTATATTAATGATGCTGGGAGACGTTGTTGTTTCGTATTCAAAAGAGTTTTCCATCAAAATCGATCGAACAAAACACGAATTAAACATTTAAAAAAAACCTTCACTAAATTTAAAAGATGACTTTTCATAAACCGATAAAACTTGTTTGTATTTGATATTTACAAATTATTAGAGATACAAATGGAATTGTTGTGAAGATATCTCTCGCGGGGTACGGGAGTGCCGACACTCAATAGCATTCTCTCGTTATTAAAATGTACAAAACGGTAACTGAATTAGGGATTATGATGTTTATAAAACTTGAGATTCTATATTACAACGGATTAAGGTCTGCTGGTAGATGGAATAGACAAGGTTTCTTGTGGAGAGGCCACGTGGCGTGGCGGCGCGGAGAGCGTTACATGAGATCCAACGGCGCGAAGGGACCTCTTAGAGGATCTGGAAGAGTTTTTTCAGTTCAACCATCAACTGCCAGTCGGTCTTGATGAGGTCGTCCCGGAAGTAATCCTTGCACGCGTCGATACTGGCACGCGATATCTGAAACAAAACGCTTTTGTTGATCACCAATCCGGTATAGAGATTTTCTATCCTAGTAACCTCGAGGGGTTACTCTAGATTCGCCGAATTAGTACGTGAGCTCGCGAGGCTCAAGCCTGATGACGTTGCTAACACGAACTCTAGCAAGAGCCGTGCTTCGCAGAATCTATCACCGGATCGGAAACGCGACCCACTGAGAAGATCCGGCGAGAAACTCAGTGGGCTGTGTCTGTGGGCCGGTATAGATATAACGCAATCACGAGGCAGCAAGTTATCAAATGGAACCTTCAAATGTAATATCATAAGTGCACACCGTATCTATACATGAAATAATAATAAAACAGGTGCAATTGAAATTGGGATATGATCGTCAATAAGGTAGATGGTAGGACCTCTTGAGTCCTCACGGGTAGGTACCACCGCCCTGCCTATTTCTGCCATGAAGCATAAATGTATTTCGGTTTGATGGGTGGGGCAGCCGTTCTAACTATACTGAGACCTTAGAAATTATATCTCTAGGCGGGTGGCACATTTACGTTGTAGATGTCTATGGGCTCCAGTAACCACTAAACACCAGGTGGGCTATGATCTCGTCCACCCATCTAAGCAATAAAAAAAGGGATATCTTTCAATCTATAAATAGAATATAATAAATGTAGGAGGGGATTTCATTCAGATTGACCTAGTTTTGCTCGCATCGATTCAGCAGAACGAGGTGAATGGAGGGTTGACGTCAGAGTGCAGGTCCAAAACTGGGTCGCGAACCCTCCGTGACCCGTAACTGTGCAGGCTCATCCCTCGTGGCCTTGTTAGCAACGAAGAGATGGGTAACAAATGGCGTTTCGATTCAGGAAAACTACGTTTATTTTTAGACAAAAGGACCAGAAGTTAATCGGCTCAAGGTGAGTACGCTTAGGAAGGATTCGTTTGATTTAATCTCCTTACATTTAATCTCTTATTGAATAAATAAATATTGAAGCTAAATATTTTATAATTCTAAACAGAAATTATATTGGTATTTTTATCGACTCTCGCGAGGGCAATAACTTAAAAGTCGTAGAACTAATGAAAATTATTTTTACAACCTCATTCCGAGACTACATTGTCGTGTCAGAGTGACCATGAAGATTGTAAAGTATTCGAAGCATCGGAAACAATACAATCTATACCAGTAATTCCATATTTAAAAAAAAAAAATAAAGACATGCCCGCTGAGTTTCTTGCCAATTCTTCTCAGGACGGAGGCTAGTTCTTGTGAATTGGCGGTAGTTCTTTGGACGTTCAACAAGTATGTACTTTCATTTATGTTGAATAAAAAATTTTTTGATTTGATTTATTTGAGTATATGAATCTACAGTGGTTTTTACGGATGTTCCATTATAACTACGGAACCATGCATCCGATTGACTTGAAACTTGGTAGGTATTCATATAGAAAATACATGTACTTAATGGATAGGCTAATATTTATATAAGTGTTGGACTCCCTAATAATAATGACTATAAATAATGTTAATTTTAAAGGTAATTAGGCCGTGAATAGGCCTTAGTAAGAAGATAGCAGAGAGAAATCGACATAATCATCTCAGAGCACCACGCAGGGCGCCAGTGACCTACATAGCATTCAACGTGTTAAAAATGATACTAGTCCGTTTCATTAATATCAACGTAATGTTATATTATATAAATACAGACGAATGTTTTATCAGTTAAATGTTTTTTTTTATTTTTATTACGAGTATTATTTATTCGCAAACTGTCATTTAGATACGAATGTCGTCTGAAAAAAAAGAAGAATGTAGTGTGTGATTCTTGTCACAAATAACTTATATAAAGTTTTTTTGTGTTCACTTGAAACAGAACATTGTAATGTTATATCAATGAAACTGCATCTCTGCGAAATATCAATGGAGCTCTAGAATGGGGGTCCGACCCGGTCGGCGCGTGTTCGTCTGGTATAGGGGATACAATGTGTGCCGCTTTTGCCAATTCACGACTGGCAAACAGGAACCTTATGCTATAGCAATAAAGTCGAAGAAAGAATACCTCAAAATTCGTTAGGGGGAACTGAGATGGCCCAAATGTCGTTGTGAATAAAGCTGCACGAATTGACCTCGCGGAACTTGTGAATGACAATGAGAAACGTTTTGTTTGCGTGTTTCAACGGCATAGACATTTTATTTCAGTTCCATTTATTGGCGTATTAAAAGTAGGTACTAGTAGTTATTTAATCTATAAATATATAAAAAAATAATCTTTTTATTTATTTTATTGCTTAGATAGGTGGACGAGCTCACAGTCCACCCGGTGTTAAGTTGTTACTGGAGCCCATAGACATCTGCAATGTAAATGCGCCACCCACCTTGAGATATAAGTTCTAGAAAAAGGCAGGGTGGTGGTACCTACCCGTGCGGACTCAAGAGGTCCTACCACCAGAAAAAAATCTATATGTATGTGTGTTCATCTAAGACTCGAGAACCGCTAGCCCAATTGATATTAAACTTTGCACATACATATATGAAAATCGACAGCCGACATGACCACTCTGACGAGCATAGTTACGTTAGTGCCGGATAGGGGGCGCCGGTGGCAGTAATTTATATCTTTTGAACCATAGGTCGAATTGATATGGAATCTATATACATATATAAAAGAGAACGTATGTATTTGTGTATGTAAATTCACCTAAAAATATCTTACGTAGTTAGCTTTCTGAAATTGCATTTTCTTGTCGACAAAGCCGCGGGCGCAGCTAGAGTAATATAAATTTGTCATGATAATAACTATTCGTATATTTTTTTTCGAAATCTTTCGATTAAAAGTTCAACGGAATGTTCATGTCCCTGTGGTAGTGGACACGGCTAGCTTAACGAAAGCGGTGACGTCACCGACGTCCGAAAATACACCGGCCCACGACGCGGACGGGAAGCAAGTTCTGAGTGGTTTTTGTACAGCAAAAAAATAAGATGGATGTTTACGGCGAATCGAAAACAATGTTCGTGTTTATATTATTATCTTTTTCAAATGTATGCTATTCGTCTTTTCGGAATTGACTGTTAAGTACACAAATATTGTTTCTATAAGAGATGCTAAATACGTCAGATTTATTGTGGCGCGTAAACAAAGCTATGTCTAACACGTCTATCGATTTAAAACATCAGATTCTGCGATTGATTTGTACAGAAATGTGGGTTTTTAAGACCCATTTATTCTATCATATCGGTCTGCTTGCATTTGTTTTCGATACTTTTAGATTAAAACGTTTCCTGAATTATGTTCAATGAGATATGTGAGTACTGTCGTAATATTTACGACTGAAAATCCCTTGAAAGTTAGAGTTAAGGTCAATAAAATAAAATAAAAAAACTAAACCGTCCTTTATGACGTGCGCCACCGCAGGCCCCGGATGGTTCAAGGTGACCCCTCGAAAATAGGTTATTATGAAAATATAATTAATCTGCGCTGACGATCAAGATTTACGTGAAACATTTTTAAAAGCTGTGTTTCGTGTCATGAAGCATTTTCTCGCACGTCGTGTAATTTAGATCTCAAAAAAAAAAAAAAAACACGAAAAATATAGGAGCGTGAATTTTTTTACTGTAAACAATGAAATATTATATTTTATATGTATATATTTATGATATGTATATGTATATATTTATGTATTTATTTAAGTACGAGTATTTGTATCTATAAATATTATGTATCTTATATATACACATATGTTTAAGTAATATCACCTTCACACTACACCTACCAAGGTTCATCTCTGCACTCCCCTAAGGTAGACTGTTAGAGAATGCCTATGACATTAAGTCCGCCTTTATACTTTCTAGTATATGAAATTATAAATAAATAAATTTCGTGTAGGCGTGTAGGTTGGTAGCCACGCAATTATCGTCGGTGCGATATGAGTGCACCCGCAGTGGCGTGATCGGCGCCAGTTTCCCCTCGACCTAGTGACCTGGCCGGGACGTCCGCCTGCGTGCCTCACCCCTAGCTGCAGCGATCAATGAATCCCCAGAAGGAGAGAGGGGAGAGGGGAGGGGGTCGTCCATTCACCCGTCCGCCACCCCGCTTGCATTCATACTTTTTGCAACAATGAACGATCCAATATCTTTCACAGAGATCGAATCTCAGCAGCTCGATACGTGACCCGTAACTATTCAACTGATATACAATCTAAATTATTATTAATCTTTCAATAAATGTTAGAAAGAGTCGCATATTTAGAATATCTTGTTATCTCTCTAGTACTACGACACGAAAAAAAATTATTTTTTATTTAATAATTTCCTTATAGATTTAAAAATATTTTTCACAGCTACAAATCAAACAAATTTCTTATTGATTAAATTAGAACCCCTACCTATTCGTTAAGCTATAAATTGTTATTGTCATATCGGTACAGACACGTCGATGTGATGAACAAACAGGTGTTACATTGTAAAATGTACTGTAATGTAAGTTCAGAAATAGATCGGCCATTTATAAACGGTAGATGTCGATAGAACTGATGTCGAAGTATATAATTTAAAGCAAGGGCTTTGTCATTTTGTTTTACAATTAACGTAAAATGTTTTTGTTTTTTTTGTTTTATTGCTTAGATGAGTGTACGAGCTCACAGCCCACCTGGTGTTAAGTGGTTGCTGGAGCCCTTAGACATTCACAACGTAAATGCGCCACCCACCTTGAGATACAAGTTCTAAGGTCTCAAGTATAGTTATAATTTATGTATTCATCACCTAGTGCTCCGATGGGCTTGTACCAGGTGCTTATCAATTACCAGGAGCTTCATAGACTTCGTAAGATTTTGCAGGGCCGATGTCACATCGACAACAGTAATAAAAAAACCAGTTGGTCAAGACTTCGAAAACGACAAATTCCGCTCAGAGGCGCGTTATTGAAATTTTACGAACAAGCATGTGAGCGTCCGCTCATCATCTCATCTAGAATAAGTATTAGAATTTTATTATTTTCATTTAAAGATAACATAACCTA